AGCAGAATGTTTGAGACATATGAAAAAAATAACATTTAGACAAAGTATTTTTGCAGTTCTCACAAAAGCTAAGATATAAAAGGAAAAGGCAACTGTGTTGGAGATCCCTTTTGTATGAAACCAGAACTTTTGTGGATTTAGAGGAATATCTAGACCTCGAGTAATATAAAACTCTGATACCATGCCATGGAATCACAGAATCACACAATATTAGGAGTTGGAAGGGACCTCAAAAGATCATCCAGTCCAACCCCCCTGCCAGAGCAGGATCACCTAGACCAGGTCACACAAGAACACGTCCAGGTGGGTTTTGAATGTCTCCAGAGAAGGAGACTCCACAACCGCTCTGGGCAGCCTGTTCCAGTGCTCTGTCACCCTCACAGTAAAGAAGTTTTTCCTCATGTTCAGATTGAACCTCCTATGCTCCAGCTTGCACCCATTGCCCCTTGTCCTGTCATTGATTATCGCTCAGAAGAGCCTGGCTCCTTCCTCCTGACACTTGCCCTTTACAAATTTATAAACATTAATGAGGTCACCCCTCAGTCTCCTCTTCTCCAAGCTAAAGAGACCCAGCTCCCTCAGCCACTCCTCATAAGGGAGATGCTCCACTCCTTCAGTCATCTTTGTGGCTCTGTGCTGGACTTTTTCAAGCAATTCTCTGTCCTTCTTGAACTAAGGAGCCCAGAACTGAACACATTCATTAAGAGTTCATTAAGAGTGAATCACCAGTCACTTTTAGTCAACTGTAATTTTGTCTTTTTTTTTTTAATCAGTCTGGACAAAAGAATGACCTCTTTGCAAAAGTAGCTGTATGGCAGAACTTGACAGTTATTAATACCTTCTAGTTGGTGCGACATAACTACTAAAGATAGCTGACTCCTACCAGGCTAGTTCCTATTATGGCTGTGTAGCTCATGCTCTTAAAGTGACGGTCGATCTGGAGAATAAAAATGAGTTACTAATAAGTGTTACTGCACTGCCTTGCTACTGACTTCCTTATGTTAAGCCTAACATAAAACTGAATACTGCAAAATACTGGAAAATTTCAGTATCCTTAAATCCTACCCAAAAGAACAGTACTGGCAAAGAGAGCAAAGCACTCAGAACACATATTTGTCATGCACAGATTAGCAAACATAGAAGGAATTAGTGCTCTTGGCTGGTCTGTACAGGATCTCCCAGCTATGAAGGAATTTTTTATAGCCAGCTCTGTGCTATCTTGACTAATGAAATATAGGAACACCCAGATAATATGAATACCAAAGGATGTGACACAAGTGAGGACACGTGGAAGTAGCTCAGATCTAGTTTAAAGCCACTGGTCCTGCTCCAGCTCAGCACTTGTTATTGTGGACTTCTGCAGGGGAAAAAAAAAAAGGCCTCTCTGCATTCTTTTGTAAGCAAAGCTCTAGAAGAGATTTTCAGCTTGGATGCAAATTCACAGAGTTGGGTTCACTCTGGTACTACACTCAGGTCATAAGCTTTCCTGCATCCAGAGCATTGCAAAGCTCAGCAGGTTCATAACTGGTAAAAGAAGAGCTAACAAGTCTCATTTGACATAGGCTTAGTCTCTCCCCAGCACTCCCAGTTTTACTAATACCATGCATGGATATTCACAGTGGATCTGCCACAGATCTTGCTAACTCAGGCTCCTTGCCTCACCAGTCATCCTGGAGATAGCATAACTACATCCATGTGGGGCTGTACTGGAGTCCATAAGTCCAGGCAGAATTCAAACAGTTCTTCAGGGAACCATCTCTCCACATCTGTCATACAGTTAATATATAATTCAGATAAAATGTCCATGGATAACTGAGAGGTGACTGTACTTTTGAAACTATGGCAGTGCAGTTTTAAAAAAATCAGCATACCAGAAAGAAGCAAGGAACTTAGGCTAACTTTAAGGTGTTTATTGACTTGGGAATAATGAATCTTGCTTCAGACTATCATATCAGTAATCACATGCCAGTTGCTTCTCTAGGATGTCCAGTCACTTCAGACAGCATTCAGTTACAGAATACTGTATATTTTTGCTATCAGTGCCTCCCAGCACTAATTAAAAGTTGTTACTGGCTCACGTGGCTCTTGACAAAATCATGTTTTGCCTGCTTCCATCAAAGGAAGTAAAATAAGGAGTCCAGTTCATCTAGATACCTCTTTGCAATAATGATTCTTCTAATGAAATCTATGTTTTGATTGAAAGTAGATGGAGTGCCTGCTCAATGCAGAATTTGCATGGCTAGAAAGGTTATGCCAGCTCTGATACAAGTTTGTCATTCTCAGAAACAGTCAGTTTTGACATCTGCAGTTTATAAGCTTTCAACAAGCACATTACCAAAGTTAAGCTTAAAAATTGTAAGCAATGAATAAGCATATGTACATGGGAATTTTCCTATGGGGCTTTTATCACAGTGTTTATTTCAGTTCTCAAAAACTGTTGTTAATGAAGAGAAAGCAAAGCCAAAGAGACTAAGATTTGCCATAAGGTTCATCTGGACTGTTTTCTGTTTGCATATTTTCTTAAGTCTGCTTTTGAAATGCATCATGGTGTTCGACAGCAAGATATTAACAGCATTTACAGCAAAATACTGAACTGGCAGATAAACCAAGCTGATTCATTACAATGTGCTGCAAAAAAAACCACCTTTTTGCTCTCCATGTGGTCACTTCTTTCTTGTAGAAAGCAAATGAGTATCAAGCTCATGCTCGTACCTCTTCAAGGCTTTTGGGTTTTGCTAGGTTTTTGTTTGTTTGGTTGTTCTTTTTAACCACTGTATTTAACAAACTGTAACAGGATTTCTGCTTCAGTGTGTTAAAGAACCAAAAAATATAATGTACTTCATATAGTCAAATAAAATGCCAGGTTCGATTATGCAATGAATCTGTATACATATGTTTAATTAGCTGTCAGATTTAAGTTATTTGTAAGTAGAAATCCACAGCCAAGTAGGCAAACTGATCGTGATATTCAGATTTTGTTATCCAAAACACCATGAACATCAGAAAACATCGAAAGAACAAGAAATTTTGTTTCAAAGAAGCTAAAAGCAGTTGTGCCCTAATTAAGCTGTTATTGTTCAGGTCCACAAATGCAAATTTCTGCAGCTGTCAAACTGGGCTGTTCTCAACACGGTGAAAATTTTTCACTCGCACAGAAACTACAGCAAACTTTCCGACAGTAGGCCCGATTTCTGTCTTCCTTTACTTTTCCACCAGGTGTCACTCTGCCAACTTGAACGGTTTGTACTACAAAGGCCCCTACACTGCAGAGACAGACAACGGGATTGTGTGGTACACTTGGCACGGCTGGTGGTATTCTCTGAAATCCGTTGTCATGAAGGTCAGACCAGCAGACTTTGAACCTAATATTGTTTAAGTATTTTATTAAGACTATTTATCTACTTAATCTTTTCACAAATCAATGCAAATTAAAACAGATGGGCAGATTTTTGTTTCTCATCTATGCATATATAAATCTGGAATAATTCCTCTGCAACCAGTAGTTTTATAAGATGTAAAATAAGACAAGACAATCTGGCCTATGAATCTGTAGATACAAGCAGTAGTGGTAATATGTGTACAGGATTTTTTTTTAAAATGCAGGCATTCACCTAGGAATAAGGACATCTTCATCAACATGGAAAATTTTTGGCTGCTGCTGTAACTACGATCCTTTTACCTTTTAAACAAAACAGTATTGTCATTGTGTTATCACAAAAATGAAAATTAATTGTACATATTACAACCAAAAACCTATCTAAATAGAAGCATATGGCTGGTTTACTCAGTGGATGGAACATACTTCCTTTGGAATGATTCAGGGCTTTAGAAGTGAGTTGCCTGTAAAACCCTTCGATTTATTTGTTGCCTGTGTTGTGTACATAGCATTCATAAAAAGCACAAAGAATGAGGCAGGGAACTGAAGGAAGAGAAGGGATGCTACCAGGCTAGAATCAATTGAATCCAGCATAGAGAAGTGGATTGTCTGTTGTTGCTGAAGCATTTCTAGAGCTGGTCACATAAATTCAATCTAACATTTTTAGATGGTCAGTAATTATTCCTTTCATTTTTTTGGTAACATTTGGTAACAAAACCTGGACTTCAATATATTTACATTTGGCGTTTACCAAAAGGCTAAATAACAAAAACTGCAACCAATTTTAAAGTGAGCTACACTTTAAACGCAGATCTCATAATGCATGCACATGTCTTTCATGTGCAACTAAAATCTTGTCAATTGAGAGGTTGTTAGTGCTTGACTCTATAAATCTTTACTTTCTTTATGTATCTGTTAGACTCTACAACTCTCCAAATTTGAATGTCCTGTTCAGTCACTTCAAAAGGGTTCTGCTTCTAAGCCTATTATCTTCTCCTTTTCCTATGTCCTTGTTTTGGCTCCCTGGGCTTTCCCCCTTCTCAAGATCCATGTTTTTCTTGTACAAGAAAAATTGTAAAAGATATTCTGCTTACCCCTGGCTTTCGTGCCTAGCACCACAATAGACTCTAATAGCCAGAGATGACAAGAATCACTGATTAGTGCTTACTGTCATGGAGAAGACAGGAACACTCTCTAGAAAGCTCTCTGATGAAATGTAATCCACTTCTGCTGAGCAGATGCAATTGAAGATTTTAAAAAACACATGGATCTGAACCAAACTTGGGCACGTTTATTTCCCTGCTTTCCTAAAATAATTTTGTTTCTGTGGTTGGACTGTCAGTCTCTCTCCCTCTGACCAAATTCAGTTTTTGAACCGAGCAGCCAATTTCAGTCAAGCTTAACATAATTGAAGCCAACTTTTGGCAATCTATCAGTCAATTTATAACTACATTGATATGAATACAGGTCAGCTGAATGTTAACTCCCTGCATGGCCATTTTTCCTTCCATTTCCATCCTCCAAAACCAACAGTTTGGCACAATCCTTGAAAGAACTGCATGGAATAAGGGAGAGAGGATGTGTAGAACAACTGAGGGAAAAAAGATAAATTAATATGAAACAGACTCAAAAAAAAGGGAATTAAGTGGAGAAAAAATGGGATTCAGGCAGCTAAAAAGAATGTTATCATGTAAAAAAGTTACCGATAAAAATCTGCAGTACAGAGGTTTTGAGGTCTGTGCTTTTTATGTGGTAATAGCAGGTACTCCAGATTATCCAATCCTTTTTCTGATGTATCAATTCTGCTAGAGATTTCTCACCTTTAGCACATCCCTGTACCCTTGTATGACAGGACCAATGGATAGCTTTACAGCCACTTATTTGGAACTTTGTTTAAGCAATTAAACCAAATTAAATTATATATCTGACAGGAAGGCATACCAGTCTATATATGTATGTGTATATATGTATATACTTACATACAGAATATATATATACTTATATATACACACACACACATATATATATATTCAGCATTAAAACAGAACATCTGGTATGTATTTTTATCCAATCTTATTACAGAATTTAAAATGGGTTCCTGTGTAACTCTATGAGCAGGTCTGTAGGTATGGGTAGTTAATAATATGATGGAAGTTTTGGAGTAGTTTAAAAATATGTTTTAAGTACAGCATTTCCCATCATGATTTTCAAATTCTTCTGCTAGTCTAAGACAAGAAGGATTTAATTATTTGCAAAAACATGCATGACATTATGTAGAAATTGTAAAAACACCCTTAGTTTTTCACAGGAAAATGGAAAGCTTAGGTCATGTATTTGGAGAGTATCAAGACAGATCATGTTCCATGTAAGTTAAAGACAAGACATGGAAGATTTCAGTAGAGCAAAGCTGTATCTCTAGCACACAAAAAATACACCTAACATGTGCAGATTGTGTTCATAAAATCGGCAGTAATATTTTTCTTTGCTGTAGCATAAATTCATCCTCTTTACTTAGAAGAATGCTAATGAAATCTTTCAGCTAAGTTAGGGTGCTTTTGTCATATTTTGATGTAAAATATGACTCCCTTTTTCTATTGAAAATCATAAAATGAAGGAGGATCAAATCTTTCTTTGTACATCTTACAATGTACTTATATGTTTAGTTGGACTGAATGCTCTTCAGAACAGGGACTTTGATATCCTAGCAATATGCAAATATAGTATTTAATTCTCACCATCTTTCTATGGCCTTTCTTTGTGTAATAAATCACAGAATCACATAATCATTAAGGTTGGAAAAGACCTCTAAGATCATCAAGGCCACTCATCAACCCACCACCACCATGCCCACTGAGCCATGTCCTGAAGTGCACATTTACACATTTTTTAACACCTCCAGGGATGGTGACTCCCCTACTTCCCTGAGCAGCCCGTTCCAATGCCTGATAACCTTTTCAGTAAGTAAATTTTTCTTAATATCCAATCAAACCCTCCCCTAGTACAACTTGAGGCCATTTCCCCTCAACCTATTGCTTCTTACTTGGGAGAAGAGACTTGGGAGAGTGATAAGGTCTCCCCTCAGCCTCCTCTTCTCCAGGGTAAACAACCCCAGTTCCCTCAGCTGCTTTTCATAAGACTTGTGCTCCAGACCCTTCACCAGCTTTTTGGCGACATGAAAAAGATGTGAAAGTGTTGTAATTCAAAATGTTCACATTAATGTTCTCAAAGAAATAAACAGTTTCTTTTCAAAAGGCATGTTCCAATAGCTACTAGACAAGAGAGTACAGCTTGGAAGAGAATTATTTTCTCTGCCTGGCTTGCCTGTTCTATTAATGTATTCCCTCAACAGGTAGGAACATTTTCTAAGGCAGTCTTTATTCTCACAAGATAGCAGAACAAAGGCCAGTTTATTTGTTCAGGCATTAGACAGAACATAACTCCCAAACAGCTGAAAATTAATACATAACTGTCCTGGTTTACCGGGGCAGAATTTCAGAGTTAGTTTTCTGTTGAGGAAGACTGCAGTTTTTAAGGATTACAACATGCTATTTCGTGGAGACAACGTGATAAAATTTTGTTACAGCTTTTCAGCTAATTCTGGTATCCAGGTTCCCATAGCGATCAAGGTCTTTGACAGCCTTGAGTTAACCAGGTGCAGGACTTAGGAGGAGCAAAAGCTAGGACAGATGGTCCAGACTGACCAATTAATAATTATTTAATACCCTAAATGTCACATTCACTATAAAGTGAGGGGTTTGCTGGGGATGGTCCACTTCCCGCCTCCTGCTCCTTCCCTCTTCCATGGCTGACATCTTGAGAGATACTTGTTCTACTACCCCCGAGGCCTACACTCCCACAATATTGGCTGAGTATAACTTTGTGTATTTTCTATTATAACTATTATTCATGTTAGTATTATTATTATTATTATTAATATTTTTTTAATACATTGCTATTTCAACCCACGAATCTACTTTCCTTTTCCTGAACCCCCTCCCCTGGTGGAGAGGAAACATCAGGTGATAGAGCAACTTTATAAACCACAATACCGTTTGATAGAAAACATATAACCCAACAGAAAACAAAGAAGAATCAAGGTAATAACAAGGAAAATGTTTGTCAGTGATGATTTAATAAAGAACATAATGATACCTACCAGCAATGTGTAATCAAAAAGACATCTTTTTGTAATATTTGTTCAAGGGAAACACCTTTACACATTCAGTTGTCTATTTTTGTTCTCTTCCATTTGCTAAACATTTTGGAGATTAAAACAAAGGAAACCACAAGCCTAGGTGAATCAAACGAGCAGTAAGAGCCGTATATGCTACAAGATTTGTTTTCCCTAGAATGTCTAGGATGCATTAACAGAGCCAAGGTACTGCAGTCTGGCTTACTGCTGTCCAGTGGAGACTCTTCTCATCAGCTCTATTACCTACCTTACCATTCCCAAAACTGTTACTCCTGACACCAATTCTTGAACACCTTTTGTAAGCATAACATTATGTGCTGTCAAAGCTATTTCTCCTCTCTATTAGCAAAATGGTATACACCCAGAAAGGGGAATCAAACCACATCTTGCCAGGTCTGTGAACATTCCTATCATGCACCTTTAGTTTACTCCTCATTAGCTCAAAAAGAATGAAAATGCATCTTTTTCTTCAGTAGTAGGTTCTCTTTGACAGTCGTAAAAGAGGTAGAAAGGGCAGAAGTATCCAGGGAAGTATTCTGTATCAATTTTTTTTTTAATTTCCACTTATTTCTGCCTTTTTTAATTTGTCTATTAAGAGGTCAACTTAGAAAGCAAAAACCAGAGCTATTCAAAACCAGAAGGTACTTTGAAATTAATATGAGCATATGCTTGCTGTTTTCTCAAAGTAGGTCTAAGACTTAGGAAATCTCCAAAGTTTCAAGCATTCAGCCAAAATCCATATGCAAAGTATGCACAGAGAGAGTAAAGTTATTATTTTTCTGTTAGTTAAAATGCTATTTCAAAGAGA